ACATTTTGAAAACTCGACCGCTGATTGGTTAAGAAACATCGGACGATCGGCGGACGTCTTATACAGCTGGTAGATGCTGATTGGTGGAGTTCAAGGTAGCTTCAATCCTATAAAAGCAGTGAAGTTCTGGCGGGAAGTTTAGTTCGCTTTGGACTCGTAGAATGAACTTACGTTGACCTTAGTTGCCGGAGCTGTCTTAGAGGATCGTCTCATCTTGTTGTGTTGTTGTAGACTTTGAATTCGTACGTCGCAAGGTGCTTTTCCGACGGACCTGTAGCAGTGGATGATTACTTTGAACTTTGTTAATATCTAATGTTTGTAATTCTTATATGTGAACTTTAAATGTAACTGTACATACGTTTTTGTTTTAATATATATACAAGTTTTAAATACAACTGACTCTGAAGAAGTATTTTAATTTGACTGCATTTTTATTTAATATTGTTCTATTTAATAAAATTGTATTCTGTTAAGTTAAAATACATTTATTCCTCATAAATGTCACTTCTCTCAATTGTATCACTTACAGCAGTGTTTTTCAACCTTTTTGAATACGCGACCCCTTTACAAGTTAAAAAATTCTTCCGACCCCCTAGGGCCATATTAAAACTATATCAGTGATTTAAAAAATTATGTATTTAATTTTCTTTCTGTTGAGAGAAATTACTGTTGACTAAAATGAGAATTTAAGGAGAATCGACAGTAACTTAAGACACGTATAGTATGTTACTTCCTTCTTATAATAACATTGGGTTCGGAGTTTTGTTGACCTTTTTTTTTTTTTTAGGATGAGGGTTTTTCACCTCTACTTTTCTACTTATTTATTATTTCTTTTTATAAGTCAGCTCAACACTTTTTCGGCAATCATTTTCTGGGGTGGGCCTTACCCCAGAAAATGATTGCCAAAAAAGTGTCCACCCAGGCCCTGCCCAGGCGACACCATCATTCGGACCTAAATGTCAATAAAAAAACCAACTGTACTGTATAATAAACAGGCACAGCCTTTTCGTTGAAATTGTAGTTTTTTTAATGTAGTGTAGGACCTACAAACACTTGTCTTTTTCTTTTACCCGCGACCCCCAGGTTGAAAAACACTGACTTACAGTATAGTATATAACATGATCAAAAGTCACTAGCGTAATACAATCCTGTTTTGTTAGTAATAAAATATTGAGTAATTGATGCAACTGATCAAATGCTCAATATTAATCTAAAAGATGTAGTGTACATGTTGAATGAAGTTTGGAAAGAACTGAATCCAGATATGATTAAGTACTGCAGGTTAAATTCACAATCCTTCCTCCTGTGATAAATACTGAAATATGAGCAAGTGATCAAGACCTGCAAGACCTATTAGTGTTTTAGTGACATGGCTGATGTAATACTTGAATATACTTCTTGCAATCAAGACTGAGTGACATCATACTCCTTAAATAATGAAATTATTGAAGTTGTTTCTGATAGTATTATTGACTTTCAAGAAGCAGATGATGAAATAAATGTAGATGGTAGTAATGTTCCAACATCTGCAGAAGCTTTTGCTAATTTAGAAAAAGTTGGCTCCTCTAGCATGGAAAAAGTTTCAGACATGTTGATTGATAATCTCCAATTAAAAATATTTACAATTTTGAGAATCAACAGCAGGAAAAAGTATGGATTTTTTTTCAGTGTAAATATTTTCTTTTTAGTCTAATTTTATTTTGTTTGATGTAGTCTTATCATTAAAATATAGTAAATACAGTGGTCCAAAAACATATCTATTCTTCTTTCTTTTATACAGTGATGTGAATATCAACTTAAAAGGACATATTATGTTTCATATCTGATCTCTTAATTTGGAAACTATGGGAATAAATAAAACTTACATTAAAAAATAAGAAGAAAGTTGAAATATCAATAAAAAAAAATTATAAGAATTGAATGTCAGTGGCACTCTTAACATTTTAAAGGAAATATGATATTGAAATATTGCTTTTCTTAAAATTGTCCTACCTTTCATTGTTGATGGGTGCCTTGAAGTTTTTGGAAAATGTGAATTGTATTAAAATGTAATCAAAATATAAAATGATTTTCTACTTTGTAATAAATTTATTTCCAAATTGCAATTTTGTGAAATTTAACTGAATTTATAGATTTATATTCACAATGGAATTAAAATATAAATTAAGAATAATAAATTTGAATATATAGTATTAAATTAGTGAATATACTTACCATAAAAAATGACATTTGTGATGAAATAATTTGTCTTAAAAATTTTTTTAAGACAAATTATTTCATCACAAATGTCATTTTATAAGATGATATTTCAACAATTATTAATATAAGTGTAAAATAATTTTCATATGTGAAATTTTCAGTATTTATTTTTTAGTTTCATCTAATATATTTATGGATTTCTCATTTAATAATTGTTATCTTTATAAGTTTACTGTGTTGCATTGATTGCAATTTTTAGTACATAAAAACTATTTGCCTATAAGTTATTTTTGTTTAATTTAAATATGGGTAATTTATTAGGTGTGCAAATTGAAACGAACAATGAATTTAAAATGAAGTTACACTTTAATTATAAGGAATAGAGTTTTATACATATATTTTCTACACTGGCACTTAAAATTGTTTACATAATGTTTATTTTGATTTTTTGACATTTAAAAATTAAATGTGAATTTGCATACAAAGCATTTATAATCCTTTTGGAATTTTGATGAATGGTATGCCAAACCATATCAGTTTTTCTAGATGTCTTCCTCTCTGTGTCATATTGGATGTTTGGTTCTGTATGAGGTTAGTCTTGGTATTGATTGTCATCATCATTAATTTTGTCTTTACAATTGCCCAAAGATTCTCAATTGGATTTTCTTCTGGCCAAGTGACATCTTAGGTTCATTCTCTATCAGAAAATTCATTACTGATTTGACTTTGTGGCAAGGTGCTTCATCCTGCATGAAGACAATAATTTCTTTTCACAACTTTATCAGGAAACTAGTCAGTCATATTTTAAGGACTTTTCTATACTGGTCACATAGTACCTTCTACAATGTACTGTACAGTACAATCTTCCAGTTTTTTGTAAGATAGTTCCACCCCATTACTTTGGCTGGATTTTTAACCACCTGTGTGATATATTATAATAAAAGATGTAATGTATTTTTTACTTTCAGGTCTTTTATTTTTCTTTCAATAGAAATTGATGTGTGGATAATGATGGAAATTTACATTATCTCCCTCTATAAAAAGTTTTATTAAACTAAAAAAATCAAAGTTTTATGACTGATTACTTTCAATTTATAATTTAATGATAGCTTACCTTGCTGCTGTCATTCCTAAAGTTTTCTTGAATTTTTCTGAGCCATAGCAGACAATCTTAGCTCATAGCCAAACAAAAAGTCAGAGAGACCAGTGGCACACTCATCTCCAAATTATAGATGGTTATACTTCCATGCATCAAGTTTTATGATTGTTTGAAATATCCTTGCTGGTTCCTTTCTGCTTTGATTTTATCCATCTAGGTAAGTTCTTTTTATTTGTGGGCTTAAGCAACTATGGCTGAAACCTAAGTTTTCTTTTTTGTGACAAGTACTGCACTGATCTGGTTGACTGATTCTTGTGAAACATGAAGTTCCTTCAATATCACATTGTAAATACTTTTTTTCTTTTAATAAACATCAGGAAAGACCTTTCTTGGTGAAAGCTCTGCTGGTTTCCCATAACCTTAATTTTCACAAATCAGAACACTGACAGCAGGATAGCCTAAATAAAATAATGCAAATAATTATTATAGAGTTAGAAAAGTTGAAATATCACTAAAAAATACTTAAACTAATTACATTTTTATTAAAAAAAACTCACAAAAGAAGCTAAAATGAAATAGTTAAACATAAATTAATAGTCTGAATAAAATAGCTATTGTAAGAGTCAATGAACAAAGCTGTCATTTTTGAGAGAACTTTTATAAAATAAAATTTCTCTACCAGATTTCTAAAGAGAAAATTTACAACTATATGTAATACACCTAAGCAACAATATTGCATTGCATTGCAAAACAGCTTTACAGTTTAGTTTGTAGCCAGTAAGTAATGAAAGAAACTGGCATTGAGTCTAATAATTTGCACACCTCTGAGTATTGTATGACTATTTATATATAACATTAATTCATAAAATTAATCTCTCTAAATTATTTTTATTTTTGAAATGGTTTACTTATTTTATAATGAATCAATTATGAATTTTTCTTATAGATGTTCTTTGTATCTTGGATTCTATTAAATCTCAAAATATAATAGAACATGTACAACAATCTAGTGACCAGTCTGTACAGGATGTAAATGATAAAAATGATTTTGAACCAATTAAATTAACNCTTATTTTATAATGAATCAATTATGAATTTTTCTTATAGATGTTCTTTGTATCTTGGATTCTATTAAATCTCAAAATATAATAGAACATGTACAACAATCTAGTGACCAGTCTGTACAGGATGTAAATGATAAAAATGATTTTGAACCAATTAAATTAACAAATGAAACCAATAATGATTTAAAAAATGAGAATAATTTTGATGTTAATGAAATAGAATCAAATAATTTAAGAAATGAACAAAATGAGTTATCTGAAAAACAGTCTATTCAGAAGAATACAAATGAATCTATAGAATATAATATTTCAAAAGATATACATGATAAATTTTATCGTTTCATATCATTGAACTGTGATTCTAATGTCTCAACAGATTTATTATATGAACTAGTGGAAAATTCAAACAGAACTTCTAAAAACAAAATTAAGTGTGAAAATTCATTAGATATGGAAACAGAACTTCTTGAAGATAACTTTAATAATTTAGTTGAAGAGAAACCTAAATTTCATTTACTTAAAGATTCAAGTTATGATAAAAATATTTCTTCTCAATCTGAACCAGAGTATAAATATGAAAATGTAAATGGAAATATAGTTAAAAAAGAAGAAATTCATGAAAATATTACTAAAGAAACAGCCAAGTATGAAGAAGCTATTCCATACAGAACTGAATATTCATTTATTATTAATATGAGAGAAATAGGTATACAAGTTTGCAGTCTTCAAATGAATGAAATTGGAACTCAAATAGAAGAATCTGATAGAGAATATTTTTATAGAAAAGAAACAAATCAAAGTAATAAAATTGACATTGGAATTCAGACTGATTCAATTGAAGAAAGTATTCCAGAAAAATTACAAGAATTAGAATTGGTAAGTTATAAATGCTTTATCTTAGTAAAATTAATTTTCAAAAATTCAACACTTAGAATCTTATAGATAATTAATAAATTCTAGACTTATTTAGAAAATCAACACATGCAATTTAAATGTTTAGGTATGTCAAAAAACATTTATATCAACTTTTTTTTATTTATTTTTTACAATCTGTCCACACACACACACATTTTACTAAGAAAAAAGTTTTTAAGAGAAATATATTTGAAGCAAATGTATAAGACCTCAAATATTAAATAAAATATTTTTTTATTATATGCAAAATGTATCTATTATAAATCTTACACAAATTTTTTCTAAATATACATTAGATTGTTGATGATATATGGTATCTGCATATAAATAATGATGATAAATTTTGCAACATTATCAGATGATTGATGAAATATATAGTAGACTATTGAGGATAAAAATGTTTTGGAAACATTTTAGAATTTAAAAAACAAAAAGAAAAATTATACATTTCTGATAAGTCATCATCAGTAAATAATCTAAACATTATTGAAATTAGACAATTGGATGACCCAATTATCTAAAGGTAACTTATAATGGATCAGGAAAATGATAACCTTAGACAATATTTATTAATTGAAAATTCGTTGTTTTATAACTTGCATATAGCTAAGTCTTTGCAATTATTGTATTTATAGTAATAAGAAAATTTAAAATTACCTCTTAATAATAATGATTTTTATTGTAATATAATGAAACTATTTGTAATGAATATATAATATATAATTTTTATTTTTGAAACATAATTTAGATCAGTGGTTTCCTAACTTGATGGCTATAGCTCCTGAGAGGAATTTTTCTTATAGATGTTCTTTGTATCTTGGATTCTATTAAATCTCAAAATATAATAGAACATGTACAACAATCTAGTGACCAGTCTGTACAGGATGTAAATGATAAAAATGATTTTGAACCAATTAAATTAACAANATTTAGTATCTAATTTTAGCAGTTTCAGAAAATGGAGCTTTTACAGATAATATTTAAATATTTAATTTTGATTAATTGTTTTGCAAGATGATTATTATTATTTATATTATTGTTTATATCACTTGATAATATTGACATTTTAATAATTTTTAAAAAATATGGTTTAATAGAATTATCGCCAGATTTATCATATAATGATATTCAAAACTTTAATTTCAGTCCTGTTTTTGAATGTTTCTGAATCATGTAGTTCAGCTTCAGAAGACTTAAAACTTAGTATTCTCGTATATGAATTCTGTTATATTCACTTCATTTCCATTTTATTTACTTTTTAATTGTTTACCATTGTTCATTTTCTTTATACTGTATTTAAAAAAACTGGGTACTTAATTATATAACACTCGCCAAATAAACCATCACCAGTTCATAACCAAACAGAAAAATTCTTTACATATGTAAAATATTTATTTTACATATTTTCAATTTTAACGCAACATATTCGAATTACATAGTTAAACGAAACTTTCAAAAACATTCTATTCTACTAGCCGTTAGTTCGATATCGTCAATACCTGAGGATGTCTATTACATATAGATGAAAACGTACGTAGAAAGAATTTTTCTGTTTGGTTATGAACTGGTGATGGTTTATTTGGTGAGTGAGTGTTCATTTTCTTGACAGGTTTTATTTATATTGGTTTTAATTAATATAGTTTCTTCCATGATTCAAACAATCTGCTGGATTATTGGGCTATATTAAGGCTAATTATTATTTATTTACTTAGCAAACTGATACAACCATGATGCATGGAGAAATCATACAATGTATCTATTAATGCAAATCATAGATACATATTAACTTATAGCTACAATAGAAAGATAAATTCAATCTTAAACCTAAAAGTGGGAGAGCTGTCCAGAGAAAAAAAACAAACTTAAATAACAGTATCTTATCTATAAAAAAAAAAGAAGAATCAAATTAGTCTCTTATCCACAAATTGGATAGTCTCCCCAAATTAGCGGTAATATAGCCCAATAGATTGTTTAGCTTTAATTAAAATTTGAATTATTGGATTGAATGTTTGTAACTGTACTAATGACATTGTTTTTTTTTTTTTATCTAAAATCTTTGAAATTTACTGAAGAAAAATGTTTGATAGAAGTAGAATTTTTTAATTGCTCATTCATAAAAATTTAAATATTTTAAACAGTTTGTTCTTTAGTTTCAAGTTGGTCTTCTGAATCTGAATTATAAGTATCATTAGTTTGAAAATATTTACATTTTAAATGCTCAACTTCCTAAAAAGGAGGAAAAAATTAAAATTAGATTATATTGTTTGATAAATCAAAACTAGATAAGAAATTATTGATTTTTAAAAGTAAAATATATATTTATATTTTATTTTATATTCATGAGTACATATTCTAATATTGATAATTGAATAATTTTTCAGTTATTAAAAAAAATATTTTTATTAAAAATTCATTACATATATACAGTAAATCCCTTGCCAATTCAGACTTCTCATAACCCTGACAAATTTTTTCAAAAAAATTACATAATAGTATAAAATTTCTTGACAGTAGACATATTATAATTAATGAATGCTTTTGATATTGTGCATTATATTACTATATACTGCTGTATGTCATAAAATTCTTTTGAGCTCATTTCCTGTAATAATAAATTTAGCAGTAAAAACTTCTGTATAGAGCTGATCATGATAAATTACTGTACTGTATACCCACCTCCTCGGACAACCTTCACCTCCCATTAGTCAGAGTTAGTAGGGGTTTATTGTAATTTTTTAATTTAGATGTTATTCAATTATCAAAAAATTTTAACAATATACTGTATATATTTGTAGTCTATAAAGATTTTCAAACTGAAAAAATCATATTTTAAATTATATATGAATATTTATTTATTCTTATGTTTTTATTTTATAGTCTAAAGAAGACTACTCTTCATGTAATTGAAAATTTCATTGTAATTGATTAAATTTTTGTTAATGCAAGATAAATTTATTGATCATATGATAAATATTTTAAAGTGAAATTTGATAATTATTATTAAATTTACCTAGGATGATCCAAAAAAATTATGGACCTTTTCCTCCAAAAAACAGATTTCAGAGATCCATTAATGTGCAATTATACTATGTATTAGCTGAATTTCTTTTAAAATAAGGGGCCAAAGAAAGTAAACTTTTGCAAATTTTTTTCTTTAAAATTTTTGAAAATTAAATATTTAGTTTAATGTGAAAATATAAGAAAGTATTTCTCTGCTGTTTTACAATCTAAATATACAATAACATTAGACATAAGCTTATTACTTAAACTGTCATCATCATTTATTTTGGCAGAAAATGAAAACTGCTAAACTAAATAATAGTTTTTAGTTAGACTCATTCTAAATTACTATATATATCTAAAAGAAAATGAGCAAGTATTTATTACAATTTTTAACCATATTTTTAAAATTTATGTAATTTAAAATATATTCTCTCCACCTCAAATTAGTAGTGTCTTGCTCCTGTACATCATACTTTTCCTGTTAGCAATATAGTCATGCCAGACCAGTTATCTATCTAACTCCTTTTAGGTGGAATTTTTGAATTGAAATAATGTGATTTCCAGTTTGCATCAGAAGTTCCTATATAGTTAATCAGGGCTTCCTGCCCCTAATCTTTCTATATCTGGTCTTGACATACATATGTCTCAAGATTAAGGATACCATTCTCAAGATTAAGGAAGAACAGGCAGACAGATGGATGAAAGTTGGAATTTATAGATCTATAATTGTTTTCAAATTGCAGCCCAACTACTCACTTTCTGTTTTTAGAAAGGAATGTTTAATTATAGTAAATAAAAACATTGTGGCATAAAACAGGACACGGTTTCAAAAAACAAATAAAAACATATTATAACCTTAAACATGGCTATATCAATTAGCAAATTGTAGTAATAACAATTGTTGAATTTATGGCAATAAATGAGATTGTGGGAAATGCCACTTATAGAGTATCTCACACCTGTATGAGAGTCCTATTTTTTGCCCCTTAGGAATTAGTGCAAATACACTGTAAATTTCTATTTTTTTATCACCAACAAAACTCCTTTGAATTGAGTTTGGATGGTATGAATGTCTGGCAATGATATGTAGTAGTCTACAAGTTTATTCCTCACTGGACGAGAGATTTACCATTAGGGCCACTTAACATACATTTGATTGTGCAATACTATAAATTCATATAAATATATAATGTAAGTAATAATACCTGCATTATTGGAGTTCACAATTTTACTTTTTCAGTGTAGTGTTTGTTCTATTTTTTTGTCATTTGACAATTCATATAGGGCATTTAATTAGGAATGTCTTTTGATGCCCATATGGTGTATGCCTGCTTGTGGCAGCCCTAAACATGACATTAAATTCATGATAGAAAAAAAATAAACTATACACAACTAAAATAAATTTTACCATTTCTATGGTAAAATTATTTATTTCACACTAAAATAGCAGATTAACTCTCTCATTGTATATAAGATTAATTTTCAGAATTTTAAAAGCTAGAAAGGCATATTTGATATTTTTATATTAACATTAAAAAGATCATCTAATATATAGTATAGATGCATAATATCAGTGTTTTTTAAAACAATAAAATCTAGTAAAATAACTTTTTCTGGATCATATTATATAAAAGAAGAATGAAAGACTAAATATGACAGTAATTTAGATTATGATAATGCCATTTGTACTCTATTATAGAATTAAAAAATCTAGTTTTTCAATGTAATACTAATGGATATTGGTGCTTGATACAAGTTTTCTTGTGAAAGTCATATAATGGTAGATACTTAATTTACAACATTAGATTTATTTTTCCTTCAAATAAAAATAAACTAATTCCTGCTTCATAATTAGAGATTGTGTTTTGTTTACCTAATTATTGTGCCAATATGGAAGAATTGTATATATGTCATGTTATCAAAATACTTGTAGTTAACTTTATTGTTTGAAATTAACTTTTATAATGTTAGCTGTGATGAGATAGATATATTTATATTAATATATTTTTGAAAAATTATATAAGCTAATGGAAAATAAACTATGAGTTTGATATAATCTCATTATATCTAAGCAAGGATTACTGGAAAGTACTTGTTGACTAAGATATTGAGAAAAATATTTTATTATGCTTTGAAAACAGTCTTCCTTGAAGTACATGCTGCTAAAAAATGTCCATCTTCCAAAGTATAGGAATTGTTACAGCTTGTATATAAATGATGCAGCTTTTATTTTTATGTGATTGAAGAAAGTATTTTACCTAAGTCATTGTATTATATTATACATTTTGCAGAATGATAGATTTACTAAACCTTAATACAGATTAGATTGTATAATCTTGTATAGTTACCAATTAATTGAATCAGATTGGCATGTTCTAAACTATTATTGGATTCATCATGCCATTCCCTTAAATACTAGTTAGTGGAAAGTTTCTTGGGTCTCTATGATTATATATTGTGTACAAATATTATTATTCCTACTTAATGTGGGAATAAGATTGAAGACAATCTTAAATAAAATGAATAAGTTAGATAAGCTTTATTTATATTCACATTGGACCAAAAAAATGTTATTCTCTGACATCAGATCATTTGCTCGAATATTTATTTGAAGGCAAACAAAAGCTCATTCAAACAACTATAAAGAAGAGTAGCTTACTATGCAATTATTTAAAAGATATAATCAGTTAATATTTTTAAACTTAGTAATAATCACTCATTAGAATTCACATTAATATTTAATAACATCTCTCAGGTTTTAAATTGGTCTGGTGGTTGTTGCATTGCAGAACCAAGTTCTCAACATTGAGATAGACATAAAAGATGCCATATTACTCTTCCAGCTTTCAGTTTACTGAAATGACAAACTTTTCTAGTTTAAATTTGTCTATATTGAAAAATTTCCTTACAGTATTTATTTTTAAAGAATATATGCCATAATCTATTTGTGAAGATAAATCATGACCTAAAAACCAAGCCATTATAGTATTTTAAATTATAATTATATAATTAGTACCAAAAAAGCTGTTGTAAAAGTTGTCATTAAAATGATATAAAAACAATCCTCATTATTTCAAAATTTTGCTAAATCAGTCTTAGAGGTGGTATTCATTTCAAACACATTAATTAAAATGTGAATTTAAAAACTGTTAAGATTATAATCAGTTAACTGTCATAAGATTATGAATGATGCAGTATATGTGAAATGTGGAAACAAGTTTTTTATAATTCATGTATCTTATTTGTATAGAAAATTAGTAAGATTACTAACAGAAATTCTACTTTTGATTTTGACTAGTAGAAATGATAGCTTGCTTTTGATTGTAATTAGTCAATAAAGTTTCAGAATGAAATTGTTAAATATCTCTGAATTAATGGACAAAGAAAAATATGAAATGTTGATATTGGCTTTCCTGATTGAACATGTTTGGAATTATTGTTCCTATCAATCACTGTAAAAGAAACTGGTAGTGTTATAGAGAAATAATAGTGAAAGGATTTGTCTATATTAAAACGTTACTTAGTGATTAATACAAATGTATTATTTTGTAAATGATATATATAGTTAGTTGTAAATAAAGATGTTTTATTTTGAGATGTTTGAAATCTTGAGTGTTGAGTATGTGACTTTCAATTAAGCTTAGACATTTTAATTATAATAAAATTCAAATAATTGTGATACTTCTAAATTTATTTTTATTTGATTATAAGTATAACTGAAATAATTATGAAATTTTTCTGTAATTTGAATAAAGTATTGGTATGAATATAGCAGACCTGTAGCATAATGAATACGAAATTATTTAAGAGCAAAAAGTTTTGCTTGTTATTTGATTCTAACTTCTGTATTATCTTTGCAAATATTTTATTTTATATATCTTTTATAATAGCTAATATTGAACTAAACATTCATAAAATAAAATAGAAAAAATATTCACTCCATAGTTTTTTATCCTGTATTAGTGTTATGGTAGATCTCTAAATTCAAATATTAAAGTTTGGTGTGATTAATATTTTTATTGATTAAAAGACTCTTGTCATATCAAAAAGAACTTTGAAAGGATTTTAATAATAAATCAAGTGCTATTAAATAATACTACTATCAGCATGCTACAGATCTAACAAAGTCTTATTAAATAGGAATTTAATGTTATTAAAATTTTATCCAATTATATTTTTGATTTTTTGTCTATATTGAATTTTATTTTTCTTTGCTAGCTTACCTAATTATACAATTATTACGTAATTTATTTCTATATTCTGTGATATACTAATACAGTATTTAGGATTAACTGTATTAAATTACATTTAAATATTTATAAAGTAAACTAAATATGACAATTTTTTTATTTACTATGATTAATGAATTGCAGATTAAATAAAACTTATGACTTACCAACCAATCAACCGGTGTGAATAATGTTTAAGTAACGAAATCCTTCTGGTGCACTTCTGGGCACTACTTCTTTAAGTGAGTAATCCTTCTGGGCACTTCTTCCAGTCTTCTTCTTTCTCCGATTTGGTCAATTCTTATTTCAAGTAGGCTGGCCATTGACATTCAATAACCAGCCTACTTGAAATAAGAATTGACCTGAAGAAGTGCCCAGAAGAGGTAATGAAAACATTCGTCACTTAAACATTATTCACACCAGTTGATTGGTTGGTGAGTCATAAGTTTTATTTATATCCCAGTGTTGTGCAGTTAAACATTCTATGCAGATTAAAATAGTAATCTGTGATTTTAAAAATATATATCAGAAAATCATAGGAAAAAATTCACTTATGAAATGGAATAGCAATTTTTAAATTAAAAAATATTACTCAAAATGAAAAGTTTAAACTATAATTCAATAATAATTTAAATAAGAAAGATAAAAATAAGTATGATGAAAAGTGCAATTATAAAATCAAGTAATATGAAGATAGAAGGCTTAGAATCTCAATCTAGATGCAACAATGATTATAAAGATTGTTCATTCATGTCAGCATTGTTTCCTAAATGAATTCCATATTTGTGAACAGAAAACTAATAATTTGATGCTATTTCATAAAAGAATAAAGCTTTCTTGCACAGATAGCAGTAAGCTCTGTACACATCCAAACATAAACAATATAGTGTCTTTTAGGCCAGCTGTCCAGCTTTGTAGTTACACCAATGATGGATTATTGTAAGGGATCTCTTTATGTAAAGGATTACATAGATACAACTGAATTTTCTATATGTAGTATTGAAAATATTCAAGAATATAATCATTAAATTCTAGTTTATGCTTTTATGTATTATATTTTAACATGAAGATGGTTTTATAATAGGTCATTTTAGATATATAATAGGTTTCCATTTGATAATCCATTGATCAAAAATTGCAATATTCTATTAAAATTAAATTTGTCTGTAAAAATAACAATAATTAAATAGTTTCTAGGATTTTACAATAAAAATTTACATTAAAATTTATTATGCATTATATCTAATTATGCATAATAATTCAGTTACAATTTACTCTGTACTTGTCAGCCTATGTCCATAATATACATCACTTATTAACAAAAACCTATAACTACAATAGCATTGGACTTACTAGATTCTTTAGACACAGCTTGATGAATTAAGACAACAGTTACCTCCAAAATAAATATGATATTGATGTTTTCATGACTGGTATTTAATGTTTTGTTTATATTAAGAATTTTTCAATCCCTTACTATTGAAATTTCCTTAAACTTTTTAGACTGTGGCTGAAATGAAGGATGTTAAAAAACAACATATGAATGTGGCATGTGATATGGCTGATAAATTAAATTTAATATCATTAAGAGAAAGTGAACTTAAAGCCAAATTAAAAGAAACAGAAGAAGAGAAAGTAAGAGAATTGGAGTTAATAAAATCAGAATGGAACGAATTAGAAAACAAATATAAAGAAGAAATTCTTGCGTGGCAAAAAAATGCCGAAAAGCAAAGTTATGTCATACATCAACTTCAGATCCATTTTGAACAAGCACAGCATTTAATTTATGAAAAAGATGTAGAAATAACTGAAATGCAAAGAATAATTTCAGGCAAGTTTTCTATTAAATTATTAGTATTATAGCCGTTTCTAGCCCGATAAATCGGCTTTGGTTGATGTAAAGATTTAAACGTATCGGGTGTAGTAAGGATGTTTTATTACTTCAATGAAAATATACTTACAACGATATCAATTGTCCGTTAGTGTATTCAATGCGTTCATCTTTGATTTTGCAATATTCAACATTAAAGTCTACCGCTGTCCCGAATACTGAAAAGTAAAATTCAGAAGATAATTAAACATTTAAACAAGTACATAAATTAATTTTCCAAAGTAACGGTTTAATTTAACGCTTATTTTATTTTTAATTTATCAGAAATAATGAGGTTCAAATGCATTTCTTCTAAAATCANATTTTTATGGAAAATTATATAAAATTGTAAGTTAATTTTAAATATGCAAATGAAATAATATATATCATGACTTAGCAAGAAAAATTATCAACTATTGGAACTAGATGCTTAGAAGAGAGACATCAACAAAGGTTAGAAGAATTCCAAAATAGAATAAGTCAGATAGAAGATGGTCTTTATTCTATTGGTATGAACTTTTTCTAATTTGTAAATTTTAATCATGTAGAAAATTAAAATTTGTTATTTTTATAAATTCAATTTTGAATAAAAATATTACATGTTATATAAACCAAAAATTTATTACAATTTTTGGCTTATATAACATTCATCTTTTGTATAACATTTATATAACATTAACTTTTGTAACAATTCATCACAATTGAAAATTTGTTGTGGACAATATCCTTCTTTTTTAATGAATTCTTCAAATTTGAGACAGAACTTCTCAGCTTCTTTTTTATCTGCACTAGCAGACTCACCATGGATTAACACATGTTTAATGCCAGATCTTCTAAACTTTGCAAACCATCCAGTGGTAGCCTTGAATTCTATCTCGTTATGTGATGAATGTGGCATTTTTCTTTATTTGTTTCTTTAGTTCTTCAAAAATTTCTCTAGCTTTCTCTTGAATGATAGTCATACTAGTTACATCTCTTCATTTCTCTTTCTTTTATCCAAATTAAAAGCAATCTCTCCATTTTTTTTAATGAATGGCACATCTTTGTTTCTCAGATGTGATTTTCATTACTCCTTTAGCTGCTTGCATCTTCTTGATTACAGTAGAGCGTCAGTTATCCGAAAGTCAATTATCCGAAACGTCAATTATCCGAAAGAATTCCAGTGGGCAAATTTAAATTTTCGCCAGTTCTGTGGCGCTGTGAATCTTTGGCTATGTCTTGGGCTACTCAAATATTTTACATTTTTTATACTAAATTAACTTCTGAAGTATAATTNTTTTATAAATGTATAATATACTTTTAGATTTTGTGAATTAAAAAAAAAAGGAGAAAAGTACAAAAAGTTTTGACTCAAGCAATTTTCTATGGAATGTTATTGAGGATGATATTGAGCACCCTTAATAACATCCTCCATTCCATAACACACAACATTGCATGCACCCTCAATAGCATATATGCTATTGAGGGTGCATGGAAATACTGTACTTTCACTGATGCTATCTCACTGACTGAAACATTATAGTATGTATTTAAAAACTACAGAAATATAAAAAAAAATGACTTTTTGATTAGTTTCTATTACTTTTTAAATATAATGCTGTTTGCTTATTGTTTTATTATGTCTAGAAAATATTATATTTTTCAACTTTATGATATGTATTAATGTATGCAATAATAAAAATAGCAATATATGAAGAATTAATGAACATTATCAGTTGTACTGCAAATATGTTCAACATAATCTCATCCTGTTGAAGAGATAATTTCAGGCAGTTATAAAAATTACAATTCATGAAAAATAATAACAGTATCATACTATATATTTCATAGACATCAAAATCTAGAGATTTTTAATACCTGTTACCCAAATCAGTTTTTGTAGTGTTAATATCAGAAAGAAATAGCAATATTGTATTTATAAAATTTGTTCAAATTGTGCATTTAATCAATTTATAAAAAAATAAAATGCATTTTTTTTATAAATTGATTAAATGCATACAGAAATACTTATCAAAATGTGATAACATTTAGTGATGATTTAATGAAATAATTATGGAAACTGTGTTTTTTAATGCTATATTGTATTGAAACTAGTGGATAGAATATCGTGTGGGAGTTGTACTAAAAAATTATTATTAATGATAAATGACAATAACAATGATCATTTCTTAACATCCCAGTAGAACACTTTACTATTGAGATGCAATTGTATGATTTGAGAATCACTAACTTCTGGTTTGACAATAAATAAACAATACTAAAACATAATTAAAATAAATAAAAGTTATTGTTGTATATTTGTCTTGTAGAACTTCTACAGTTATTGTTGTAATAATCATTATTACGTTTCTAGAAAATACTACAAATCAGTGATATTTACTAAGGACTTAATAATGATTATTGTAATAATATATAACAATATATTTTTATACAGTGATGTCTATAGATTATCATAACTTTCTGTATCTGTAGTTAATGTGAAGCTGTTTGGAGGATATCCAGTATATTTTATCAAAAGTAACAGCTATAATTTTGATAATGAGGATAAAGAATAATTATACTAGTTGTACCATAGTGTATGTTTTGTTGTTATTTCTAATAAACATAATAAATGAAACAGTTCCAATGTTGTGATAACACTTGGTATTTATGATGAACACTATATATTTTAGTGTTCTGTTTTGCAACAATCCATTATTTAGGCTTCTTTAATTGAACAAAATTTTAAGTTGCTTTTACTTAAATAAAAAATTGATAGATCAAAAAATACTTAATATATAACAGTAAGTTTAAAATATGCTTTTATCTAAATTATACCATTTTGCATATTTAGTTATTTAAGCTTAAGTATTTCTTTGAAATTGAGAGTCACTGCAGTGACTTCCCACAAAATAAAAAGTGTATATATTTTCAGAAAGCAAATTATCTTGTAATGTTTTTTAAAACTTATTTTTTATATAGAAATTAAAGATAATTAGTGATTTAATATTATAATTTTTTGAATCTTAAATGAGATGAAACTCATATAGATGTATTAAAAAGCTTCTTACCTGTATTACTAATTTACAAAAAAACGTAGTTAATTAGCACTACTGAACCAGGCTTATTATACTCCTAGCATATTTAATTAACCTTTCCAAAATGCATTTCAGCTTTACTGGCCTTTTCAATTGGATAACGCACAAAAATCAGATTGTATGGTGACTATTGCCAACATACAATATACCTTAGAAGTACAATAGTTGCAAATAATTAAGTTTATTAAGTTATTATAAGAAAATTAAGTTATTCTGTCTCCACCACATCTCACATCCACTCGCACCACAGAAGAAAAGAAAATAACCACAACAATAAAGAAGACAAAAGGACTATTCCCAACGTTTTTTCTTCTTGGACTTGTATAGTATAGTATTGTTACAGATTTAGATATAACTTATATTTATAATAATAATTTGCAATTATTGTACTTTTAAGGTATATTGTGATGTTGGCAATAGTCACCGTAGACTCTGATTTTTGTACGTTATCCAATTCAAAAGGCCAGTAAGGCTGAAATGAATTTTGGAGAGATTAATTAAATATGCTAGAAGTATAATAAGTCTGATTCATTAGTGCTAATTAAATGTTTTTTTGTCATATAGATATATTTTATTTTTTTGTTAAATTTTATTTAACAATAAATAAAATTTTGATATATTAAATGTATGTTTTTTACATGGTAGTCTATATTAATTCTAAACATACACAAAAAACAAACTACTGTGCAAAAAATATACTGTAATGAAATAGAATCAATACAGTGTGATCCTGATTTATGATATGTAAGAATTTTGATACAACAAATTATTTTTATTTTGTCTCTCCTCTTGATTTATGAGATGACATATTTAATAACAATCAATGACCAATATTTATGAGAATGCAATATAATAATCACAAGTGCAATGAGATTTAAATCTATGCAAAGCTAATTTGATGGAAATTTTCATTTTCTTTGAATTATTTACAATATATATTTGTTAAGATTGATCTAATGTGATTGTGCAGTTTAGTGAAATTTTTATCTCTGGATTACAATTTCATTAATTAAAAAATATTTTAATGTATTTTACTAGTATTTTTGCTTATGTATTGTCTTAACTAACTTCCTTTTTCTTACCATTAAATAAAGAAATGTTTTATAACTTTATATTCATTTAGCTCATTGGGCTGCAATTTGAAAAAGTTGTAGACCTATAAATTTCCATTGTAATCTGTCTGTTCATCTGTCTTTCCTTAATCTCAAGAACAGTGTTAGATAGGTGAAATTCAAGATCAGATATGGAAAGCTTAGGAGTAGGAGGCCCTGACTAACTATATATGAACTTCCAATGCAAACTGAAAGTCATGTTACAGTAGAGCGTCGTTTATCCGAATCAATTGGGGACTGAGGTGGTTTGGATAACTTATTTTTTGGATAACGAATCATGTACGAAAAAATATATTAATTTATCCCATGTTGAAATTTCTCTCCGTTGCATGTCGCTTTGCTTTGAATTTTCGTCGATGTTAAGCCTAACGAAGACTATTGTATCATTAAAAATTATTTTTTTATTTTGTACAAACAAAATAAATTTATTGAAAAATATAAAAACAATAAAAAATTATACTTCAGATGTTAATTTAGTATCAAAAACGTAAAATATTTGAGTAGCCCGAGAAATAGCCGAAGATTGCAGAGCCACAGCACTAGCGAAAATTTAAATTTGCCGACTGGAATGCTTTCGGATAAACGACGCTCTACTGTATTTCAATTCAAAAAGGTTTCCCATAAGGAGTTAGATAGATGACGGCATGACCCTGTTGCTAACAGGAAAAGTATTATGTACAGGGGCAAGACACTACTAATTTGAGGTGGAGAACATATATTTTAAATTAAATGAATTAAAAAAAATGATTAAAAATTGTAGCCCAGCATTGTGATAATGTCACAATAAATAATTGCTCATTTTGTATTAGTTCTTTTTGTTTAAGTGAATAAATAAAACTGATGATTAGGTTAATGTTATTTGGGAAACTTTGGTAAGGTGATTGACTTATGCTGAAACAAAAGGTTATTTTGTGCAAAGAAACAATGAAGAAAGCTTTACCCTGTTTATGAGATTGTAATTTATGAGTTTTCAGGAACTCATAAATCAGGTTACACTGTATATTAAAACATTTCATTTAAATGAAATAATTCTTTTTATACTGTTTTAACATAGAAAAAAGAAAATCACATCAAGCGATTACAGATGGAAAATGCTCAGTTTAGAGCTGGAGTTGAGGGAAAAGAAGCTGTGATATTAAAACAAAGAAAGGAAATTAGGCAAATATTTTTCACACTTCACTCAGTTAAATGTTGCTTGAGCATGATTATTTATGCACTAATTGTAATTAGCAAAATTTATAATTACAGCATGCTTCAGTTTGTATTAGTTTCTATGCAGTGTCCAAAATATATTTAGATATAAATTAAAACATAATATAATTATTTTTAACAATGCAATTTATGTTTCTTATCATATGTTATAAGATAGAATATAAGATTAAAAAAATAACAGCACACAAATCTCTCTTCATTCAGGCAGTTTAATGCAAGATTACAGAGATTAGAGAAAGATTTACGAATGAAAGAAGAAATAATTAAGAAACTAAAAAATAGAGTTGATTTTAATATTTCACAAACAGAGGTAAGTACTGTTTGTTCATATATTCATTATTAAAATTGTTATAAATATGATTATAATAATGTTCTGGCCAATGATTGCTGAATACTTTTGTGATAATCAATAAAAAAAAATATCAGATACTTTCACTTCTGTAGGCATACATACATAAGTCAAATTCAAAATTCTTACACTATATTCAAAATTCTATTTGAAATAAATTTTTTGAATTTATATATTTTTATTTTTTCATGGTTTTCAGTTTTAGATATGTTTATATTTTCCAAAACTTTTAGAAACTTTAATACTGTAGATTAGTTGTATCTGAACATATTTGATACATCACTTATGAATGATAGAAATAGGCCTTCTTTTAGTATTTGGAATATACAAAATATTTGTTATCTGCCTTCCTATATATAACTTGTGTGAAATTTGGCCTGTCAGTTAAAAGTTTGAGCATCATTGCTGTACATAAATAATGTCATATCAAATTCAGTTCTTAAAAAAATACAAAATATTAATTTTTAAGTTATTCTACATAATTATTGTAATAATTAATAATTAACACCCAGAACTCAGAATTTTTATTATTTAAATAATCCTTATACTCTAATTATGACTAAGATTATTTTTTACATGATAAAATTATTCTAGTAACAAGAACTGGATGATAATTTGTTATGACTAAATCAATTGTGTTGAATTGATTTAAACTGAATTGAACTAAAGATTTACTAATATATTATAAAAATGAATATTATTTCATTAGTCAATAAATTTATGTACTATGGATTCCTTTAGAAAATTGCAGATAATGAATATAATAGAGATGAAGATAATGCAGAGATTTTGAAAGTTAGAGTATTTAGTTTGTTTGTAGAAACTATCATATATGATGTTTCAATTTATCACTGTAATGAATTTTAAGATAAACTAAACTGCAAGATTTATTTAAAAGCAAAAATTGTAACAAATGTTTGAGCCATAACATCTTGTTTGGTATTACCCTAAATCTTGGGGTAATACCAAACAATGTAGACACAAGTTTGTTTTAATTTTGGATACAGAAGTCATATAGGTAAGCTGCTGACCATTTCTTCCATGACACTACAATAGTTTAAGGGTTGTAAATCATAAAATCAATTATACTTATTTATTTCATCATTCTATATGCTTCATCAGTATATATAGAAAGATAACAGGAATCAACTTATTTCAAAGTAAATGCAAGCAGAAAATTATAAGAAAAATGGCAGAAACACAATCACCCAAGTCATGTAACTGATTGGTGTTAGAACCAGTGCTAAAAGTTCATGCATATTTTGTACATGGTTGTACTTGTCATACATATCATGGTTGTACTTATTGCTGTGCATTCAAAATCTTAAAAATTAGGTTATTTCTGAACATCAAGTCATAATGTTTCATTCCAGAAATGGCATAATTCATTATTTTCATCATAATCAGAAATATATAAATTATAGATGATAATTAGCATACAAGAAATAATATACATATGAACATGACTTGAATAATTTTTATCAAGTAATATTTTGTAAATTTCTTAATATTAAATTACTTTCTGGATATTGAAAGCATATCAATAGTCAGCAATCAAGCCATTCCTATATAAAATTAATTTAAAGCAGAAAAAAATAAGTACTTTTTCTGCTTTCAATTAAATAAACAAATTTTAAAGTAAAAAAGTATATTTAAATTGTTTTGAGAATTACTAGGAAAAAAATCATACACATTATATCATAAATTTAGGAATTATTTTAACATTTGTTAAAAATAATTCATAACTTTTTATAATAACTTCAGATATTTTTCTTGTTATAACTTACTTATTCAGTAGTACTTCTGATTTTTAAATTTAATTAACAGGCCATTTAATCAAAAAAGCAATTTACAATTATATATTGAAAAGTAGACATTATTTTCATTAATTTTAGAAATTCTATATATATATATATATATATATGCGATTTTTATGAGCAGATTAGTGAATGATTAATAGGATTAATTTTATATTAGTAAATGGAGGCTCGATCTAATATCAAATATACATAAATAAAAATTTATTTTAAAAAAATTAACAAGCTGCATTAAATTAGTTACAGAACAAAACTTATTTTCAGTCTAAACTAAAATTTTGTATAGTAATAGCATATAATAAATTAATAAACTAAATTATTAAAATGGTATAAAAGGATAGTTTCTTGAAGATGTCATAAAATGTATTTAGAATGTATATATTAAATCAGTTTTTAATCTTCAGATCTGATATTAATAATCGGATAATTTGAAATATATTTAATAGTAAATATTTATTAAACTGATATTTTTATGGAAAATTATATAAAATTGTAAGTTAATTTTAAATATGCAAATGAAATAATATATATCATGACTTAGCAAGAAAAATTATCAACTATTGGAACTAGATGCTTAGAAGAGAGACATCAACAAAGGTTAGAAGAATTCCAAAATAGAATAAGTCAGATAGAAGATGGTCTTTATTCTATTGGTATGAACTTTTTCTAATTTGTAAATTTTAATCATGTAGAAAATTAAAATTTGTTATTTTTATAAATTCAATTTTGAATAAAAATATTACATGTTATATAAACCAAAAATTTATTACAATTTTTGGCTTATATAACATTCATCTTTTGTATAACATTTATATAACATTAACTTTTGTAACAATTCATCACAATTGAAAATTTGTTGTGGACAATATCCTTCTTTTTTAATGAATTCTTCAAATTTGAGACAGAACTTCTCAGCTTCTTTTTTATCTGCACTAGCAGACTCACCATGGATTAACACATGTTTAATGCCAGATCTTCTAAACTTTGCAAACCATCCAGTGGTAGCCTTGAATTCTATCTCGTTATGTGATGAATGTGGCATTTTTCTTTATTTGTTTCTTTAGTTCTTCAAAAATTTCTCTAGCTTTCTCTTGAATGATAGTCATACTAGTTACATCTCTTCATTTCTCTTTCTTTTATCCAAATTAAAAGCAATCTCTCCATTTTTTTTAATGAATGGCACATCTTTGTTTCTCAGATGTGATTTTCATTACTCCTTTAGCTGCTTGCATCTTCTTGATTACAGTAGAGCGTCAGTTATCCGAAAGTCAATTATCCGAAACGTCAATTATCCGAAAGAATTCCAGTGGGCAAATTTAAATTTTCGCCAGTTCTGTGGCGCTGTGAATCTTTGGCTATGTCTTGGGCTACTCAAATATTTTACATTTTTTATACTAAATTAACTTCTGAAGTATAATTTTTTATTGTTTTTATATTTTTCAATATATTTATTTTGTTTGTACAAAATAAAAAAAATAATTTTTAAAGATACAATAGTCTTCGTTAGGCTTAACATTGATGAAAATTCAACGCAAAGCAACATGCAACGGAGAAAAATTTCAACACAGGATAAATTAATATTTTTTTTTGTACATAATCAGTTATCCGAAATATCGATTTTCCGAACAACCCCAGTCCCCAATTGATTTGGATAATCGACGCTCTACTGTATATCTTTCTTAGTTAAGATTGTGCCTACTGTAGACCTGTTCAAGCCAGGCAAGATCAGACATCTTCTACTCACTCTCTACCTTGGCTATTATTGCTTGCTTGGTTTCTATGGTGAGTACAGTTTTTGACACTCCACTCTTTTTAGGCTCCATCAGTTTCTTTTTTAAATAAATAGTTCAGAAAAGCACTTACAAAAATTCAGATAACAGAAATCAACTAGCATACAAAAAATTATGTAAATGTGAGTCCTGGATGGAATTTGAAATTTGGTATTAAAACATTAACGAATATCTGATGGGACAGTTAAACTTTCACCTTTCGAAAATAAAAACTGACACAAAACTTAATGAATGCCAACAGTCTCGCAAACACTATAAAAAATTATTTCTGTCAGAAAGGTAAACAAAAGGCTGGAATTACAAAGGAGAGTTTCAAAGTTTGGAGGAATAATATCCAATTGGTATCAGGTTGAGTATTGATGTCAACATTGTTCATGCTCTGAAAGGTTTCAAATTATCATCTGGAGACAAGGGAAGACCAATCCAGTATTCATAATTTTACATCATTTCTTGTGTTTGTTCTGTAAGATGTTCATTATATGAACATGTGTTTGAGTCCAAACTGTTCATTAGCCAATCACCCACTGTATCTATATAGTAAAGCTACATTGGTCTGACTCATTCATTGACATGAAATGTTTGAGTAGAAACAGACTTATATGCACTATTTCATTTTTCTACAAGAAAAGGAAATATCAAGTACTAGAAAAAAGTCATTTTAGATCCTACAAGATGCCAGAGTTTTGCCAACACCTCATAGACTATCACAATCCCGCTTGACAATTAACTCAACACTATCTCCCTATTTTAATTTTTTTTTTACTAATTTGCTCAGAATTATTTTAGAATTAGCTTAGAATTATTTTATTTAATAAATAACAGTGCTTTCATTTTATTTTATCATTGATTATTCTTCATTAGAGTTTTTAACTATTATTTATCAGTTATTGTTTAAACAATTATTATAAGTGTATTAATTAAATATTTGTTATAAATTACAATACAGATGTTGGGGTTGGGGTACATATTATATTTATACTTTTAATCAGTTTTGAAGTTTCCTAATTTGATTTTTTTTTTAATATAATCTGCTTAATGATATTAGAGTTTTAGAATAATAAATCTTCATGTTTGACCTTATTGCATTCTCATGTAAGTACAGTACTGTACAGTACCTTTATATATTGATAAAAATATATTTTGTTAGGGATTTTCTGTATTTGTATATCTTTTATATTCCTTCTTGTTATTTCAATATAAAAGTTTTTGTAATTCTCTTTATGTTATTAATATGAAGAATAAATCACATAATAGATGCATGAAGAGTAATTTATTTTTCAGAAGACTTGAGACAAAAATTATGAAAAATAAACTCACTCTCTTACATTTTAGTCTTTATATTAATTTCAATTAAATTTGTTTATTACTTCTTTTACTTTTATTTAAGATCTGATAGCAAGAAAAACTACAGTAGAGCATCGATTATCCAACTCAATTGGGGACTGGGGTTGGTCGGATAATTGAAAAGTCGGATAACTGAAAAGTATGAAAAAATCCATTATTAGTGTAGTATATTATTATATCCCATGTAANCAGATGTTGGGGTTGGGGTACATATTATATTTATACTTTTAATCAGTTTTGAAGTTTCCTAATTTGATTTTTTTTTTAATATAATCTGCTTAATGATATTAGAGTTTTAGAATAATAAATCTTCATGTTTGACCTTATTGCATTCTCATGTAAGTACAGTACTGTACAGTACCTTTATATATTGATAAAAATATATTTTGTTAGGGATTTTCTGTATTTGTATATCTTTTATATTCCTTCTTGTTATTTCAATATAAAAGTTTTTGTAATTCTCTTTATGTTATTAATATGAAGAATAAATCACATAATAGATGCATGAAGAGTAATTTATTTTTCAGAAGACTTGAGACAAAAATTATGAAAAATAAACTCACTCTCTTACATTTTAGTCTTTATATTAATTTCAATTAAATTTGTTTATTACTTCTTTTACTTTTATTTAAGATCTGATAGCAAGAAAAACTACAGTAGAGCATCGATTATCCAACTCAATTGGGGACTGGGGTTGGTCGGATAATTGAAAAGTCGGATAACCGAAAAGTATGAAAAAATCCATTATTAGTGTAGTATATTATTATATCCCATGTAATTAGTATATTAGTATATTGCTATTAACCTAGTTTGCGTTGAATTTTCATCAATGTTAAGCCTAACAAAAATTTTTAAAAAATAATAGTCGTCGCTAAATTTTTAAAAAATAATAGTCGTCGTTAAAAATTAGAAAATTAAGCCTTGTTTAAATACTGGCTCCCTTTCATTGTCAAGCCAGTGTTGCCAGCTAAAACACGTAAAAGTACTACTAAAGTAGCCAAGACATAGCCAAATATTATAGCGCCACATCACTAGCGGACATTTGAATTTGCCGACTAGAACACGGTCGGTTAACCGAGGTGACGGTTAATCGGGGGTTGGATAATCGATGCTCTACTGTATTTTAATAAAACAGTTTTGTGTGAATTCAACTTTTTGCTAAACAAACAAATAATTTGAAAACAACTTCTTTTACAGATGATTCCAAAGAAAATTTTGATATGAATATTTTAAATCCTTTAAATGAATGGAAGCACGATAATCATTCCTTTAGCACTAGTAATTTAGAAGTTATTCAAGAGCAACCTTTTAATGAAATCTTTTTATATGATACAATTAAACAATGTGAAGAAACTGTAAGTTGTTCAAGATTCTGTGGATTAATTTATCACGCATAATATTAAATATTAGTTTTCTTTTTTTAGTATTTGAATCTTATAAATTCATTAGCTCATTCGCTTGGCATAACAGAACTGGAAGGTGCGGTATCTCTTGCAATTGTTCCTCATATGGAATGGAATGTATTAATTAAAGAAAGGAAAAAAGATCATAAACGTTTTATTAATGCAATTGAAGTACTCAAAACTCTTGCTCAGAATGAACTTGTTGATCAAGAAGAACATTTTAGGTTTATAATATATTCTAATAAAAATTACAGAAAAATATTAGCATAACTACCAGTAATTAAAATTTATTTTTCTTATAGAAGCTTAGAAAATCAACTACATTCAGCTACTCATGAAATAAATAGATTAAAAGTAAGTTAGTTTAAAAATTAAAATTTACTTTTTTCATTAAGTATTTGTAATTAAATATTCACACAGGAAGAAAATAAATTGAAAATGAGGGAATTGAAAGAAGCTGAAAAAATATTGAAACTAACTCGTAGGAGTCTAGAAAGAGAAAGATTGATTAATTTAGCCATAAAGCAGAACAGAGTATGTATATGCAATGTTGAATACTGAAATAAGTTATGATTCTAAAAGAATAAATTGTTACAAGTAATTAAATAAAATTCAATTCATGCTTTGTTGAAATTATATACTTAAAATAAAGTATAAATTTGTCCCTATGTGTTGCAGAATAAAATTTTCTGAAATTGAAAATTAGCAGATAATTTACCATTCTTCATGGATTTAATTTATATTTAGTGATGTCAATATTTAGTTGTTAATACAAGTGAAATATTTATCTTAAAAGAACCAATTAAATAGCTTTGTTTTCTATAGTTGCTTGTAATCAATTTTTCTCATCTATAAGAAATATTTTGTTATTTATAACAACAAAATGTATTTTAAATTTAGAAAAAGTTGGAACAGTTGACTGCTAAAATAATTTTACAGAAAGAAGATGACATGTTGAAAGTTGAAGAGGTATTAAGATTTACATTTATTAGTTTTTTGTGTTTATATATATTTACTTTATAAAAATGATAGCTTAAACAAAATTTGTAATACTTTAAATAAATTAGAATCTTGAAATATTTTTAGAAAACTACTTCTTTTAAATAGAATATTAAGAAGAAAAGAAAAGAAATAAGTAAGACAGAAGAGAAATTAGAAAATATTGAATCAAAACTTGTAAGTGGATATTTTCTTTGTTAGCCTTTGTGTTAAATAAAACTTTTAAGATAAAAATTTTAATTTACAGGCTGCAGATGCCAAAGTAAAGAAAACTTAATAAAAATAAAATCAGACAATTCCAGTTAACAATCCAATATTTTAGAAAATTTTAATATTGAGAGATTATTGCTAATGTGTGCTGTTTTATAAATTTTGTTATGTATAAAAAGTTCTATATACAGTATATATACAATATAAAGTCTTTTGAAAGCTGTTTAAATTATATATAAGTATTGTATTTAAATTATGAATGAAATTTTTTAATATGCTATTTATTATAAAATTAATTTCCTAATGTAAATAAACTTCTCCTATAATAATTTTCATACAAATGCCTACACAATAAAAGATACTTTGAATTTTACAAATATTGCATTATCTTCATTCATTTAAAAGACAGAGGTTGATGTTTATAAACAATGTATGAATGAACTTGTAAAATTAATTTTTATTAAGTTTTGACTTGTTATTGAAGTGAAAATTTGAATTCAAGCTATTTATTGATATTGTGCAGTTGTCTTAGCATAATTTATCAAAGGAAAAATACTATTTTAATTGTTTTTAATGGGTATTTTTCTCACTACTATGTTGCAAATTAAATATTATTAAGATAAACAGTAAAATTTTGCAAGTAATTATTATTAAGGTGCATTTTAAATTTATATGGACATGAAAAAATTAAAGTGAAACCCAAATTTGCTGCATTAAGTGACAAATGTTTTATTAAAAATAACATGGATTTACATGTTTCCACACTGCAAAATAAGAATTTTAATCAAACATTAACATTTTTTTACTGAAAATAATATTTTTGAAAATTTTGTACAAAAAACTGTTACATATTTATCTGGACAGGTACTCATTTCTTGACTTACATAGAATATTGTTTAGTTTCAAGCATTGAAATATGCAAATTAGCTTACATATCTAATTGTAATACAAATTCTTTATGTTGTTCAACATTCTAAAATGGGTAGAACAAAGAATTTATCTGATTATGAAAAAGGGCAGATTGATGCCTATAAATCACAAGGCAAGTCAATAAAAGAAATTGCAGCATATATAAGTTGTCCAAAATCAACTGTTGGTGATTATTTATCAAAAAGACGTGGCAAGGATGTACCAAAATTCAAGACAGGTCCAAAACCCAAGATTACACCTTGAGATTGTAGACAAAACATGAAGGTTTGCTCCACAAAACAAACATCAGTAAGAAAAATAAAACAAGAATTAGACTTGCCTTGTAGCAGCACAACAGTGTGGAGAGTTTTAAATAAATCTCCAATGTTAAAATTCAGAAAAAAAGCTGTAATGCCACCACTTTCATTAAAGCACAAAAGTGACAGACTTGATTGGGCACAAAAACACATGACATGGTCCAAAGAATGGATTGAAGTTTT